TGTGCGTGTGACCATGAGCCACTTCATTCACATCTGTAGGCCCCGCAGTGCTCAGATTTGAAAAGCAGAAATGATCAAAGCCTGTCGTGGGGATTAGCATGAGGATAAAAGAAAGAAGGTGCCGAACATCATAAATGATGCTGCTTCTTTCCCTCCTTCCTGAGACCTGGCTGGTCCAGAAGCTCAAGTGCATCGCTGACCACAGTGTGCAAAGCTTATTGTTCTGTTCAGGACCCTCGGCGCCAGTGCACAGAGGGACCACTCGGGTCATTTCACTTCATCTTCCCATGAGTGGGGAAGCCCCAGGAGTTACTAGAAAAGAGAACAACAGGATCCCTGCTGGGAGCATCTCACAGATGGTCTGGGCTCCCATTTTTAATCGGCCCTGAGCTTGTGGTCTTTGATTCCTTAAGTCTTCCAGCTGAAGGTCATCTTCTGAAAGCACTGACACACTTTGGCCCCTCAGGTGAGGAGGTTCCAGCAACTCTGACCGCTTTCCACGGCACTGGCATGGCTACTTGGCTCCTGCCCCAGCTTTGGGGTGAGGGGAGATCCAGGTCACAAGGTAACAGGGAGGTCAGAAACCAGGAGGCACCGCCACCATAAAGCCAAATGCACTGTGGCATTCCCAGAAGCTACCCTTGCTGCCATGGAGGAGACAGTTCATCCCTAAGACTTATTTATTAGGCGAATCTAAAAGACACGTATGGCGGGTGAGAGAGCGCTGCTTCATCACTGGGGTTAAAGTAGTTGCCGTGTTGGCCACGTAACCAGTAAGGGCTGCCAAGTAGCAGCCTCTAGGACCTACAAATGCTCACTTGTCAGTATTAAATTACAGAAATGGGCATTTCTAAGTGCTGAAAAGAAATCACAGGGTTTAAACATTTTCTGAAATGCCTGGTTGGCTTCCTCAGTGCTAAGAGGGGGCAGCCTGCACATAGCCTGCTTCCCTCAGTGCCACCCAGGGTCCATCTGAGGAGCTGACCAAACTGTACAGATTCCTGGGCACTGCACGGGGCTGAGTCACAGCACCTCGTGCTAAGCCTGGGCCCCTGAATATCCTATCTGGACTTGCCATTGTGTCTGCTGCTCACAGGCTAGGGTAGCGTCCTGGGGAGGTGGGGGGGGGGGTTGGTCAGATTTACGACACACAGGCAGGGAAAATTTCAGAGAATATATGATATGTTCCAAGTCAGAAGGCAGGAAGAGAGAGACAGAGACAGAGACAGAGACAGAGAGGGAGGGTAGGACAGAGGTAGAGAGACAGACAGGCAGACAGACAGACAGAGAGAGACAGAGAGACAGAGACAGATGGAGGATGGAAACAGAGAGACCCAGTTCAGTTTTGCTTGGAGCCCAAGCAAACATCATCAAAAGACTGTATTTGCATACAGATGACTAAAATAACACTAATGTCTTTCTGGTGAAACATGATTCTTGGGAAACAAGGGAACAGTGACCCCCTGAGGAATCTAGAAGCATCTGATCTGATGTCCCTTGCATCTGAAATACCAAGGAGAAGAGGGGCCTGACTGCCAAATGACAATGCAGCAGGAAGGAAATCAGAGAGACTGCCCACCGGCTGGGACCATGGCCCTCACAGTGCCACCCTGATGGGTGCCTGCTCCTGGAGGCAGTGTAGGGCTCCTGGTCACCAGTGCTCACCTGAGGTTGCTCCCAGCCATCTGAAAGTGCTGAGCACCTGGGTCTCATGGGTGAGCACAGGTGCAGGTCCCTACAAGCTGCCACCGGACCCAGTGGGGCTCGCTCCCAAGAAACAACCACCTTCTCAAACCACGACAGAGCTCTGTTCAGCATAGAAGCAGATCATAACTCAAGGGGCAAATCAGCCCTCCAGACTGTCTGGGAGAGGGGGAGAATCCTGAAGGCTTAGAGCTGAACTCGGGACTCCCACAGGATGGTACATTCTTCACTTCATCAAAATGCCAGTGGGGAAGGGCAAGGGAGGTCATACCAGACTCAGCCCTGGCCGGGAAGGGGCAAAATCAAGTGTAGTGCCAGGGAACAGTGGACCAACACTAGTTTGTACAGACAGCCAACTTCAAGGGCACAGGAGTGCTCCCACCTGTGTGCTAAGTATATAGCTGTTCAGGCCCCGTTCTCCCAGCTATCCTATCAGAATTGCTACAAGTTAATGAAAACCAACAAAGTTTTTTGTTCTTTCCAAAGCAGGCAACACAGAACAGCTTACCCAAATTAAACATCTTAACTGACATACATCTTACCTGATTTTATCCCTTTAATGGGGTAAGTGGCATGAGCGAGGAAGTTGGGATCGCTGAATATGTCTTCCTCATAAACCACAAAGCGTAAAAACGCGAGGCTGGGGTCATAGATCTCAAATGTCACCTTCTCCTGTGTTGGAGCCCAGACAGGATTGAGGCCGTTGTCATCTGGAAAGAGAGCCAGGCTCAAGAGAGGCTGCATTCGTCCCACCCCTTCTGGCACCTGGTCTCAGCTTCCTTCATCTTTGAAGCCCTCAGCGATCACATCAATAAATGAGTGTCCAGGCCCCAATCTCAGAACATCTGAGTGCTTAGGTTTTCCTGCCACATGAGCCAGCCTGCAAGAGCTGCCATTGCAGGCCTGGTGCTCAGGGGCCAGGAAAGGGGGCCCTTCAGCATATGTGCACCCCATCTCCCATGCTGGGATGAGAGAGGGGAAAGAAGAGCAAGAGCTGCTCGGTATAGAAAAGATGAATGAAGTATGCAGTAGCCCCGTGCCTCGGCCTGAAGAACACGTTCAGGAGACCCTGCCTCGGGGACAAAGACACACAGAAACCCTGCCATCTCCACAAACGCCCGCAGGTTGGCACCTGAGCTGTTCCCTGGGCTGCCTCTGATGGGGAGCAGCCACTCTGTGCCCCAACAGCCCCAGTTCCTGGGCCCTTCCTGCCCATCTAGAGGAGCACAGACCCTCCTGTCTTTCCTGCCCTGGGCACCGAGGCCAACCCACTTGGCTGGATCCTCTAAGTCAGGTGGACCTTGAGACCCCACTCTGTGCTTCTCAGCCTTCACTGAGCTGAGAAACATCACATCAGGGCTGGGGCATGGTGACAGGCATGTTAGTGTCACTTGCAGGGAGCAACACTCTTGCCTCAGGCTCTCCCCTTGAGGGGTGGCACAGGGCCCAACTCCAGTGATCTTCTGAAGTGGCCTTTTGTCTCTCATTCTACAGTGAACTTCAGGGGACAGGCTGGCGAATGAAAAGGGCCAAGTGACAGAAGCACATTGCAGAACCTCCAGATAGCAACCCACCTCCCATTCGACACCGCATTTAGAAGCAAGAGCTGAGTCACTTACTCACAACTGTTGTCTTGAACTTGTTGTTGTCGTACTCTGCCCCACAGATTTCCACCTCTACAAAGGGACAAGCAATGCTTCGTCCAGGCTTGGGTAGGTGGCGTGCGCCAAGGACCTAGGACAGGGAAGGTGAAACATGGAGGTGCCCTTGTCCCACAGAGCCAGGGGAGGGGACAGCCTCGTGTCCTGGACAGGTAGGTAGCCTAGCTGTAGGTTCTAAGGGGTCCACTCTTGCAGTTTCCCTCTGGCAGATGAGTGCTGGCTTGGTGGGGTCCCCAGGTCCGAGCCCTGTGCTAAGTCTACAGGGAGGTCTCACCTGGGCACCTGAGCCTGCACACCCATGCGCAGGTAGCACTCGCAGGGGCATCACACCAAATTCCTGGGTCTCCCAGAACTGGGAAGGGGACAGAACATGACCATTCTTTCTGTGACTGTCTTTATTCAACAAAGACTTTTCCTACATGTTTCTCTTTTCCTTCCTTAATCTCCTGAGAAATGCAATTCATTTCTCTACTCTTACAGAAAAGCAACCTGTTCTCTGAATGTTGGATTATTTTTAAATAAGCTGTGACCTGCAGAACTGGCCCAAGTGCAGGCAGACTCTACTGAAATCCAGGGGCATTTGTGTTTTGTTTCTCAGTCTTCTTGGCCCTAGGTCGATCGTTCAGGGACCCCAAAGACACAGATGGGCACCACCCCCTGCGGGTGACAGGGGAGGTGACTAGAATGGTTAGAAAAGTCCCCTCTTTCCCTCCCCATAGAATGACAGACACATAGTGGACTAAGGTCCCAAGGCACCATCAGGGTGTTGACCCCAAGGCAGTGTCACTGCCAGGGCAGCGTGTGGGGCCCAGCCCCGGGGAGCAGGTGACCTCTACCTTGATGGTGAGAGTCATCTGGATCTTGCGTTGTGACTCCGGTGGCATTGGGTCGTACTTCCCCGTCCTCATGACCTCCGGCTGCAGGACGTAGCCCGTCCGCCCATTGAGTGAAAACAACGCATGGTTCATCTGCATGTACTTGTCTGGAAGGAGAGTGAGGCCTTGAGAGGGGCGTGTGGGGCAGGTGCACGGCCTCCCTGTGATCATTGGGGGCAGCGGGCAAGTAGGATCTAACCCCAGGAAAATACGGGGCCTGGAATAAAGATTCCCAGCAGGGGAAACCTGTCCAAGTCTGACATGAAATCCACAGCCATGAAAGATTAAAACCTGCCAGGGGTGGTGGCACAGACCTGCATAGTCCCACCAAAAGAAATAACTAACTCAACTGTCTAAGCCAATCAAGCCAACCAACTCAACCTGAGTAACAAACTAATTTAGCTAATAAAAATGTCTACACAGAAAAAAGCTGCATATAATAGAAATCCTTTTAGTTAAATGATAGGCAGAAAAATACACATACATTTTTAACCTCTTAATGGGTGTGATAAACGTATGCTGTAAAAACTGCCCGCATTAGATAAATTGGGTAAGATGCATGAACGTTTTGCAGGAAAAAAATATTGCAAATGTTCCCTAAATAAGCAAAAATGCAGTTAATATTTCTTATCAGAATAAGAAGCTCTAATCAACAAGCTTAGCATCAGTTTTCACCTAGCCGATGGCTAGCGGAGGTAAACCTGGAGTACACAGGCCACACCAGCTGTTCAGGTTCACCATCACTGAGACAGCTAGGCACAGATGGAAAAGCTCAGTACAATCACCAAGTGAAGTCAGCCTTCCCCCAGTTGGTACTGTCACACAATGTCTAGGTGCTGCTCCCGACCAAGTGTGTGGCCAGGCAGTGTACACAAATCCATGCCTGTGTGACTGCCCTGCCCTGAGACCTCTGTCCTGGATATGCGGGTGCAAGCTCTAGGAGGCAGTGCTGTGCGCTGGTGCCTGTGATGGGACATGACCTAGATGTGTTAGACAGATGATGTTCCATCCATCGATTGCACATGGTTGCCAAAGGAATGCAGGGGAAGCCTTCACTAAGTACAACAAAAGCACAGAGCACTGTGATTATCTACAAAAGGCTGGATGTGCTGGCTTTGCCCAGCACAGAAGCATTTTGGGAGGAGAGTCTGAGCATGAACCCCCAGAGGGATGGGTAGGAGAGAGGCCCCAAGAGAGTCACTGTCACTTGTACCCAGCAGCGCTTGAAGCTACAGATCAGTTCCCAGGCATGCAGTGACACCAGCTCATGTGTTTCCTCCTAAAGTAGACCAAGCCGGTCTCTGTCACGGGCACCCACAGAGCTACCTTCAGGGTTCCTGTACCTGCGGTCTGGAAATTGAGTGCCACCATCTGAGAGCCACACAGCCACAGGCGAAAAGGATCGTAGTTTGAAGAGTCGACCCTCTGTCCCTTCGGGTAGACGCGGGTCAGGCCCTTCTGGTTGTATCTCAAGAGCTCCTCAGGCTTCTGTCTAATGATGCTGTCAGCCTTTGTCTCCACGAAGGAGCGGATTTCACGGAAGTCAGGGTTCTCTGCACACAGAGAGGTAAGTGAGCCTGTATGCCGTGTGGGATTCCTGCATGTGTGTGCAGTGGTGGATGCTCAGGTCAGGAAAGAAATGGGGAACCTGTCTTTGACAACACATCAAGGTTTGTGACAGTGATGCCACAATCGGTACATTATGGATGTCTGCCCTGGGATGGGGGGGATGTCTCACACAAGAAAAGAAGATCCATCCTGCTTTCCCATAGCCTTTCAGTCTAGACAAACTATAATGCATTGTTAGTTTATACCTACTGGCATCTTTAACTGGATACCACCTAAGTGATACAGTCACAGGCTAGGGTAGGTGGGGTGTCTTGAGCAACAGCAGGAAGCTGCAGATCTTAGGAGTCAAGATGCACAGAACAGACTGGCTTCCTTAGCAACAATGCTAGAGATACACACATGAACCCAGAGTCTTAGAGAAATGGGAACCAAAGGCCAGTGCCCACAGGAAGAGACAGAACAGGAGGGAAATCAGGTAGGTGTCTGTACAGGTTTCACCTTGGCCTGGACGAAACGGCGCTTCCTCCCATCCACTTGGGGTGGGCACCTGAGCAAACACCATGCCAACCCTGGCTGGGCCCCACCCTGCGTTTCAGCACCTTCCCCTGAGTGTCAGGGGGTACAGGGACCCCCCCCCCCCGCCCGTCAGAGTTAATTCTGGGGTTTAGTACTGTTCCTCTGGGCTTGAGATCAAAGATATAAAACTGCTCAAAAGTCCCAAAGAAACAAGAAATAAATACAAAAAGCATCATCAAAGAACTTGCAACTTGGGAGAATGTGCTAGAAGATCCACTCTTTACTCCCTCTGTGATAGGCTTATAGCCCCCAAACATCCAGGTAGAAACTGAGGCCCAGAACGTATGAATGTGCTATATTAGTGAAAGGGACTTTGCAGACGAGGTTTGATTAAAGCATTTGAGGGGATATTAGCCTGGATTGTCAAGGTAGACCTATTGTGATTAGAGGGTCCTTAAAATAGGGAAATAGAACATGGCCACGTGCCTACTAAGGCAAACAGTGGAGTGAAGGGGCCATAGCCAAAGGATGCTGACAGCCACCAGAATCTGAAACAAGCAAGGGATAGATTTCTCTGGAGCCTTCGTTTTATGGCTCATATCTAGATGTCCCCCCAGAAGCCTCATGCAATTGTAGATGGGACATTGGGGACATGGCTGGATCATGGGTGTATGATAACTAAACTGGTGTAGCAGAGTTCTGAGTGTGGATAGTGCAAGGCCCACCTCCCCTGGGTGTGCGTTGGCACCAACTAGGAGGTTTGTAGCCTAGATGGAAGGGAAAGATGGAAGGCAGGCAACTGCTGCTTGCTGCCTTCCTGCCTGTCCTGTCGGGGACTGTTTCTTTTCTGTCATGCCCTTCTGCTACAGTATCCTGCTCTGGGTCAGCCAACTATAGATTGAAAACTCCACAAACTGTGAGCAAAAGTAAATCTTTTCTACTGCCCAGTCTTATTTCGGGCTTGGAAACAGACTTCAGCTTTGTGGAACTGAGAGAGTAAACGTGTGCCATTTCCAGCCACTGGCTAGGTGGTGAGTTGATACCGCAGCTGTATGAGGCCAGCCCACCCACTAATGGGGTAAAAAGGGACCAGTGGCCAAACGCGAGCTGCAAGCACCAAGGATGAGCAGGCGAACGCTCACTGTGCCCTCTCTGACCTCAGACTCAGGACACCACGGGGTTCACCGCACCTGGGGCACATTTCCGGGGCAAGGTTACCTAAATTGTCCTTGGTTTTGCTGGTTGGCTTGCAGTAGACAACCAGGTCGGAGAGCTCAATGGCGATCGACTGGTTCTTCTCCCAATACTTCATGTTGTTCTCCTGTGGGAACCCAGCCTGCTCAGCCACTGCCCTCAGCCAGACCGAGTAACCCCACAGCCCGCCCCATCCCTCCACCTTGCACATGCGCACCATGCAGAGTTGCATCCTAACCCTGTCATGAGGACTGTCCTGCTTTCTTCTCTCTCTCTCTTGCCCCTCACGGCTCCTGTTCTCCATCAAGTTGTTTCTACCCTTTTTAGTGTCTGGCTTGGTCCTGACCATGGCTCTCAGAAGTAGACGGGGGCCAGGATGGCGGGACAGGAGCCCTTTTGTCACTCAACCCTCTGGTCCCTGCCTCCCATCCTGTCCCCTCCCCTAAAAACACAGTCATCCAATTCCAGTCCTCCAAACTCACAGCCCTGCAGAGCAGCACCCTTCCCTCCCTGCACCGCTGAGATGTGTGTGCGGCCTCTTTTTCTCCGACTCTGCCCATTGCGCTGTGGTCCAGAGGGCCTAGACATGGGCCTGCAGACTCTTCCCCCTGGAAACCCTCTCAACCCCCCGCCCCCGCCTCCATTCTGACCAACCTTTCACTGGCCAAAGGGACCTCTGAAACAATAAATGACAACCATGACCCTTTGGAAAGTGCTGGGTGTTGGGCATCACATGCTAAGTGCTGGATGGGTATTGGCTAGGTTGGCCCACATATCTGCTGAAGGGCAGAATTTATCTCCATGTGCATAAAGCAGTTGTGTATCTTACTCCAGGCCTCATGGGCAGCCAATGTCAAGGTCAGATTCTTCAGCTACTGGCCTGAGACTACATCCCTGCTCCTGCCCCACCTGTCCCATACTGCACTCTGCATTGCCCTTACTCACTACCAGTCGCCAGATCCTAGAGAAGATGTCAGTAGAAGGCCTCCCACCTTTAGTGCCAGATCTCACAGCCTGGGTCACCCTGAGCCACAGCAGGAACCTTGCACTCCCTGTGCACCGCCCAGACCCTGCCCTGTGGGCCCTGTGAGTGCTGCCCTAGCCCTTTCCACTGCATCACCCTCGGGCAGGTGCCTGCGGCTCCAGCCAGGAATGAGAGGAGCAGTGAAGGGTTGCAGGTCTCCCACACCCGCCATGGGGCTCTGCCTTACTGTCTTTGCGTAGCTGTGCTGCCTGAATGCCACCCGCTGCTAATGCTGAGAACTTGTCCCCTACCAGAGATGCCCCTGCATGGGAGGACCCTGAAAGAAGCAAGTATCACAGGATTAGTGGCCATTTGGTGATAGGTGACAACATGGGAGTCAACAGTGGGACCTGAACTCAAATACAGAGTTATGACAAGCTGTGGGGCTTCACTTCTTTTGCAACCTCAGCAGAAAACAACACCAGTTCAAGATGAACTGAAACGCTACTTGCTGCCTGGAAACTACTTCACCCAGTTGCTCCTCCACCCCTTGGATACTGTGCTGTGGGCCAACCCAGATGTGAAACTGCATGCTTTTTTTTTTTTTTTTTTTTTTTTTTTTTGGTTAATCTCTGGAAACTCACTAACTAAGTGGATGTGAGTGACTGGCCTTTGCCATCGAGGACACTCAACATGCAGAGGCCTAAGCAGGCACTCGGGGGGCCGGCATGCGGGACTGCTCAGGGAGGGGTAGTAACCAGCAGTGCAAAACGCGGTATTAAATGTTGGCTCTTGTTTTCTACTAGCAATAAGCACCTTCAGACTTCCTCCTGGCTGATGCCCCATCTCCCTGGCCATGTAGGTTCACAAATCACAGTTTGTTTGCTCACTGCTGACCAAATCAAAAGAGGCCATTTATACAAAGGAAAAAGTTTACTCAGGGCTAGCTCCAAGGAGATGGAAGGGCCTGTTTGCCACAAATAACCCTCTCTTTGGAGCGAGCTGTGAATAAAAGGGCTTTAGCAGCTGGCTGATGGCTCACCTGTGACAAGTCTGAAAGACGGCATGGGGTCTTCCTGCTGCCCCTACCCCACTCCCTCTCTCAGAGTGACTGCCTAGAGCAGGAACTTGTTGGCTCTGCAGACGTCACATACAGTAATATCTTAAAAGGGATCCTCCTGACATCTTACCAAATGTAAAACCAGCCAAGGAGGAATGTAGATCAGAGGCAGCAAGAAGCAGCCTTGAACAGCTGGCTGAATTCCTGAACTCTCGCTGCAGCAGGAAAGGAGGTGGTAGGGAGAAAGCCTCCAAGAGTGGTCCCACCCTTCCCCACGAAGGGAGGTGGACGGTGCAGGATGCAGCAGACAGCAGGCATCCCTCAGCAGCTGCCATGCCCGTTCTCCCAGGAGGAGGGGGCTGCCTGGGAATAAGGTCCACAGCCCCAGTGCTGAGGCCTTGCTCACTACTGTTTTTCTCCATTTCCAGGTAGAAGGTCCCAGAATCTCAGAGTTCAGAACATGCTCAGGAGGGTCACAGGGTGCTATAGAAATATGGCTGCTGCTCAGACAGCAATGAGGACACAAAGGAGATGAGGAGGGTGATTCTGTGAAGGAAGCTCAGGGCAGTGGCAGCCCCCTCCCACGCCTCATCAGATCTGCACTACATCAGAGGCACTGGTGGGCAGCTGACACAGCCCCATCAGGGAAAGCAGGAACAAACACCCTCATTGGCCAGTCTGATGGTCCAGGCCCAGGGGCTGCTGATGGTGCAACAAGTCATGGAAGAACGGGGAGCTCCAAGTGATGCCCCTGACTACACCCAGGGATAGGGGAAAGATGGCAGGCCTCATCAAGGAGGATATCCATTTGATGGGCTCCCTGTGGGATCTCCCAAGGATGACAGCTTCCAGGGGAGTTGGGTGAGTCCAGAGACCCCTGGTGACCAAGAAGTGGCCAAGATGTGAGCTCCCCTCCCCACCTCAGTGGGAGAAGAAACCAGGTTGCTAGTGGGTGACCACTCCAGGGTCCTTGGGGGAGAGACTCAAACTATAGCTGGAGGTCATGGGGACAGAAAGTCCCACAACAGCTTTCAGCTCAGCTCTTTGGGGCTAGATCTGCCTCCGAAGCAAGTGCATACATGGGAAACTAGACTGTCTTGCGTAACCATGGGCAGAGCAGAGACAGATTCCTTTCCCCTCCAAGATGCAGACAACTTCCTGTGTCATCCTGGTAGAAGGACAATGGGATGATTAATGGCTGTCATAGGCTGTGCTCCTGCAGCATGCCAGGCACTAAGCCTGTTGCCTTTCATGCACCCTCTCAGCATATCTTCACCTCCTCTTAAGTGTTTGCTTCCTCATTTCTCAGAGAAGAAACAGGCCTATGGATGTTGGGCCCCATGCCCTGCATCCAACCCTGGCAGGATGCCAGCTCCAGCCTGCCTAGATCCAAACCTGCTCTGACCCACAAGCTCACACTACTCCAACACTGATACTTGATTTGACAAAACCCCGAAAGGCCCACTGCCATTAGAAGGGAAGAAAGAATTGGGCCACACTGCCATGCATTCCCAGGTCCCTTTCTGGGTCAGGGAGGCGAGCTCAGGGAACATGGGCTTTGTGAAGTGTCAGGATCAAGGAAGCATACTTGATCCTATGAGGGAGCGATACTTCCTTGGTAAGACATGGGGGACCAGACACGCAGCATCACCACACACACTGGGTCTTCTGATGCTTCCCAGGGGGCCTTGGTACCCTCACCCTATCTATGTACCTCCTACCATCTTTGTCTGCATCTCCTGCCCCTGGAGTTCTGTGCAGCCACTCCTGCTGCCTGGACCACCCACAGCCCCAGAAGAGCCCCGAGGCCCACCTGTGCCCAGGTGGACAGACACTCACCTTGGTGTCGATCTTCCAGGTGATCTCCCGGATGCTGTGGAACCACTCAAAGAGCTCCTCCACTCTGTCAGTGGCGAACTCCACTGGAGGGTCACCCTGTTTCTTGGGCTCCAGGATGAACACAAAATTCTTCTGGTTTTTCCCCTGTGGAGCTTTCACTTTGGGAGAGGATAAGAATGTCCCAGTCAGTCTAGCAGAAGGTGACAAACAGCAGCCATCTCTCTATTGAACCAACCTAGGGCTCCATCACTAGTTGACACCATACGGGAGGTCCCCGTTCTACTGGGCAGGGTCTGACTTCACACACAGTGACTGCAGATAAATCAAGTCCCTAGTCCTGGAGACTGTGACCTTATTTAGAAATAGGGCTTTGCAGATGTGCCTGGAGATCTGAGATGAGATGTGCTGGGTTTTGAGTAAACCCTAAATCCAGGGACTGCTGTCCTCATAAGAAAGAAAAGAGGGACACTGGAGACATAGTCACCCCCAAATTAGGTGGCTCCTTGGGCAGCCTCTGGGGCTCAGTGGCTCAGACTGTGATGCACATACCAACGTTATAGGTGTTGAGGTCCAATATTCCTCTGCAGAGAGACCCTAGGGGGTTATCTTCAATAATCTGTGAAGAAACAAGACCTTACTCATGGAATCCTAAAAAGGCAGCCCATTCCTAAGTGCACTGCTTAGCAAAGACAGCACCTGAGGAACATTTAAATGCATTTTCCTCAGGCTACGTCCTCAGGGAGAGGGCTAAATAATGACACTGGAGATGACAGGGACAGGTAGCATTTTCTGATCTGTAAAAGCATGGCTTGTCCAGGAAAGGTCTCAAGACACACCCTGAAGCTGAATAACTATAAAGGAGGAGCGCGGCCCGGACACCCCAGCTGGAGAGCTTCGGTGGCTCCCGCTCTCCTGTGAAGCAGCGGCGATGCCTGCCATCTCGTTCTTAGGCTCTCCTGGCCCGGCAGCCCTTCCAGCTGAGGTGGAGAGGACGACAGTCCCAGGAGAGCTGGCTGAAGCGTGCCCCACCCCCTGCCGGCATGCCCACACTGCCTGGCTGATGCTGACACACGGGTAAGGACAGTGGGGACAGACATGGCTGAGCAGGACGCAGTCCTCTCCACACCTTCGCTTAGCCTGCACCTCCCTCCTGTGCCCCCTTTGTGACTCCCCTGCTATTAATCTCCAGCTTGGCTTCTAAGGCTACAGTCCCCTTCCTCCTGGAAGCCCTCTCAGATTAGGCACTTCCTTTGGGAAATGGAGGCTTGGCCTCTGGAGGGACCCAGAGTCTTCATTACAGAGAGTCATCCCTGGTGCAGAGCTGACTGCCTGCTGAACCTCATGGCAGGTGAGGACAGAAACCTGCTTGCAGAGTCCCCACGAGGCCTGGTGTCACCTTCCAGCGAGGCGCCTTGCTTGCTGACACCAGGCACATTCTGAGCGTCTGGCCGTCCAAACCCTTGCAAACTCATTTGCAAGCTGCTTTGAGCAGAGGGCAAATCCCCATTTGGCCAGTTTTGCTCTGGTGGGAATTCTCGCCTTCTAACCTGGCAGAGTCTGATTAAAACCAGACTGGCTTGTCACAGTGACCTTCACCCACAACAACTTGGGGACAATCCCAATGTCCACATCACTGTCTTCTCTGTTCTGAAAAGCCTCAGAGGCCACAGCGGGAAGTGATAAAATTCACCCCCTCCACTGCCTCAGCGCACCCCCATACAGTACCTGCAGGTCCTTCCCGAGGTCCCCAGGAGGGGAACTCACCTGCTTCTCCAGCTCCTCCCCCTCCACTGTGGAGATGTCTTCCACATAGTTGGACGGGAAGTACTGCTGGATTCGGGTGCCATAGTCTCCTTTCCACCTGGGTGGGAGAGAAGACATTGACATCCTGTAGGTGCCAGCAGCCTATTGGCTGCCTGCTGGACACCAGTGGGGGAAGGACACCAAGTGGCCGAGTGACCGGGGGACACACACGTGCCTGAGCCACTCAGCCAGGCAGCGCCCCTGCCTTCCTCACAGTGCTCCCAGTGTGAGACACAGCTGGCCCACAGCCGCCTGGATGCCTGCGAACTATGGGTTTCAGCTGCGCCTGCACCCACTCTGGGCAGACCACTTCCCCCTTGCACCCTGCCCGGCTCCGCCTCCCAAGCTCTCTACATGCAAACACACCTGAGCCCAAGCTGCAGGGTGGCTCCCGAGCCTATGGGGTCCTTGCTGTGCCGGGCCAGCCCTGCCCAACACGGCCCGATCCCAGAGTTCCCCACTCACACCTGGCACTTGCTCCATACTGCCCTCTTCCCTTGCCAGACTGCCTGGCTCCCTGCCTGCCTGGCTTCCTTCTGCTGACTGCTAAGGCTCTGCACTCATTTCCTCCTCCAGGAGGCCTTCCCTGACTGCTAGAGAGGCTGGGGTCTCCTCTGCTCTTGCAGGTGTCCTGGTCCTGGGGGCCCACAGCAGCCACACCTTCTCCTGCGGCCCACCCACAGCGTACCGTCTTTTTTTATGAATGAAGATGAATTCTCTGGGGCTATGTATAAGACAGTAATAAAACGTTTTTTAGTTTCTTTCTTTCTTTTTTTTTTTTTTCTTTTTTGATACCAGGGATCGAGCTCAGCACTTCACGTTTGCTAGGCGGGCACTTATGCTGCTAACTCCCTGGCTATTTAGAATTGTTTTAAATTTCTTTTAAAGTTTTGTATTATAACATTTTTTAGAGATAAAAGCAAATCCTGCCAGGCTGCTGTTGGCGCCTGCCTTGGAGCGCACGTGGAGCCACACTCTGGCTCCCTCTCCCAAGACCTTCCTGGTTGCCTCACAGGTGGGCTCTGCGGGGCAGCAGAAGCTTGGCTGGAAGAAGCTGAGCGAGGACTGACGATCAGTGTGCTCGCCCAGTGATGTCGCTGTCACCCCTTTCACCTTCATTTCTCCAGACCGACCTCTGGCAAAGGTTGGCTGTGTTTAGGGTGCCTTTTGCTTATGTGCAATCACAGCATTTCTGTCCCTCTCAAAGGGGTCTTGGTTTGGACAAAATTATTTGATGTCCTTGACTACATAAGTTTACAATAGTCTGATACAGGCAGCCCACCAGGTGGCGCTGTCTCCACCAGAACGAGCATGATGGGTTGGGCTGCTTACCCATAGTCCCTTGCCAAAAGGGTCCTGAGACAAAAGCCTGAGGAGCTGCACATCTGAGGCACTGGAGGGCAGAGGCTGTCTCGCTCACACAGGACAGCTATGGGACTGGGAGTTGTTGCACGAGCACCATGAGGGGACAGTGACAGTGTGGGGACGACTACTCGGGTCATGCCAAGCAGAAGGCAGCAACCTTTCCTAAGCCACATCTCTGAATTGGGAGAGGTGGATGGACAAGACCACTGCTGGTGCACTGTGCTGGAGGCCCAACACACAGTGCCACAGGCCCAGCACACAGTGCCACGGACCCAGCAGGAGCACAGGTGTCACCAGAGGCCACATGGGGCAACCCCAAGTTCCTGCTCCAGCTGCAATAGAGATGTACCTTGACCTGTTTGGATTCTGGGATGCAGAGAAGAACAGCTTTGGGATCAGAAGGTTCCCCTGACTTTAAAACAAGTTCAGAATCCCCTTGGAAGATCCCTGCAGGAGCATGGGGAAGGGCCTCCCACGTGAATGTGGTCATTGTGGGCCTGGGTAGAGGTCTGGGTTCAAATCTCAGCCTACTGTGTGGCCCTGGAGAAGCTACTACACTTCTCTGTGCCTCATTTTCTTCTTCCACAAAACAGCCACCAACAGCACTGTTACAGTTTGGACCTAAAGTGTCTCCATGTGTT